AGTCATCTATCCATCACAATGCGGCCCTTGGCAAAGTCACTCAGATCCTTACGCTCGGCCATTTTTCCTCCTTCCATCATTTCAACTTCAAGAACTGACTGTTCGCTTCCCCAGCATACAATGGCACCTGTGTAACAAGATAATTAATGTTATTCACTTCACCTGCCAGTACTTTTAATGTTATGGCTGATTGGTGTATGTAAGCTGATAAACTGAAAAGAACAGCCATTTCACAACAGGAACTGTCTAGCATGTGTGATGGGGGGGGGGGGCATATGCAAGCCAAGGGTTGACTGGTAAAGAGACATTCACAAGCATTTTCACTAAATGCAGCAGTATGTGTACAGACATACAAGGCTGGGCTACAGTGTGGAGTTTGAAGTAAGTTTGTAGGAAGATAAGAGAGTGATATAACCTTGTTATGCATGAGTAAACTAGTCAAACATGTATACAGATATCATAAAGCTTTTTGATTTGCCATATATTGTAAAATTGATTGCTTTGATTAATTTACAATTATTAAGAGGTTAAGCGGATAAAACATATAGGTGTGCTTATGGAAGAGTAATTAAAAAAATACACTGAGATTGCTAAAATTGGCATATACACATATAAACTGAATCTGGAAAAGGGAAGAAAGTAGGGTCCGAAGAAAGACAAGATGGCTCTAAAGATACCGATCAGGGTTTGAAAGAGATATAATGCCAAAGATCCAGTTATTTAGAGAAATTGGGAAGCATTGCAAAATAGACTTAGTCAAGTGAAAACCTAAAGAGGTGATCTGGAGCGTATGTTGATCTTTGGGAAGTACCGAAATAGTTGAGAGCAAAAATCAATTCAGCTGAAGCAAGTAAGGGGAAACAAGTCATGGAATGAAGGTGAAATTACTTTGGCCAGTCACAGTGAAATGTATGTATGTCACATGTCACTAAAACGTATGTAACCTGGAATCATTTGCAATGGAGCTGGGCCAATCTTAGGTGTGACTCTTTTGCATGCAAAGCAAATAAACAAACCTACAAATGAAAGAAGTTTTCCACCAGCCCCTTCTTTGATATTTGTTTATTGCTAATCTGCTGAGATGCAGTTTTTCCACCGCATGACTTCCTGGGGGGGGGGGGGGGAA